GCAAGCCGCTAGCTACGAGCGATGCGGATATGCGGACAGACTGCCTCTCGACACACGTCCATCTTCGAACTCGAGGGTCGAAGAGAGAACAATGGACATGCAACAATGCCATTGGGCGACCACGCTGTTTTGTGGCTGAATGCGCAGAGCTCCGCCGCAGATGCAGACTTCAACAATGCCAGGTGTCAGGCAGACAGAGGCAGGGTCACCCTGAACCCTGGCATTGCAGTTCGAACTAAGTTAGACTCCAATCATCCGACGAGATCGATGCAAGATCGCAGCATGCCCACCGGCGACCGTCTTACTCGTCCCGATTGGATGGGCTTCCCGACGCGACATCGGTGTGGATGCACCTGGCCGCTTCTGCGTGCTTGAATGGCAGGTCACAGCCATGCAAGTCTTTCGGGCAAATGCCGCTCGAGTCAGGCCAGTGGAATGCGAAGCGGTGCTGTATCGATGTCTCAATCCTTGGGATGCAACGCGGATTCGCCTCCTTTTCTTTGTCGGCGGTGGCGTTTTCCGTCGGGGTGGCTGGGAGCTGCAGCTGATCCCATGGCTTGGCTCGCCCGCTGCCCGTTCGGATCTCGAGTTCGACCGAAAGATCTAGGACAAGGAAAATCAGCTGCATGAGCGCTACTCTAATTCCACGCGATTTTTCACGCCCCAAAGGCCACTCAAGTGAGCGCTCGCAGCCGCTGCATGGACGCGCACATTCGCGCCCGAGAAGAAGCGCGCTCCGACTAGTGCCCCGGCATCGTTTCACCCGATTCTGCAGCGGGCCTCACCGACAGCCCCGACAACGCCGGAACGCGCTGCGGCCGCACATCGGCTGCGGCTCTTCAGCTGAAAGGCCTTCTCGACGCTAAGCAGGCGAGGTGCCTCACTTTCCCGGGTTCTGCACTTACCGGAAGCCACGTCCAGCCTTTCAATCGGACGCCATGTGGCCTCTAGCCCCGTCTCTCCGTCATCTCGGCGGATTCCTAGCTAGACCGTGTCTCGCCTCCATCGCCAACACCTTGAACTGCACGTGCAAATTTGCTCGACTCTGGTGACCGGAACCGCAGTCTAGGACCGGAAGCAACATTCGCAGCTACAGACTCAGACAGACGGAAGCATCCGAGAAAGGACCGCTGAGCGCCAAATTCACTTTTTGAGCTGTCGAGCAAAACTTCGCGCCTTCCGAGCACGGATTCGGAATCGGGACTCTGCCTGCAGCAAGGAGAGCGACCACATGCTATTGTTATCCCCATTGTCCTCGCTAGCGTAGCCGCTCGGCGCGCTCAGCAACGGTGGCAAGTCCCCTTTGTTCGCCGCGCTCGGAGCGAGCGTCGTAGCGCCTCGTTGCAACCACGCAGGCAATCTCATGCCGGCAGCTGCAGCCCTTGCCCCGCGCACGCCCCTCTCGTGGCCGACCAAAGTGCAGCCACCAGCTTCGGCTCCCAAGTCCCTTTGTTCGCATCGACAACCGGGTGCCTGCCTGAAAGCATTGATCCACACACCGGCGAACCGATTCTTTCATTGTCCTCGTCTGTGCAGCCCATTTCATTGTTGCCCTCCCGCTGCTCCTCGTCCGTCGCGCCCGGAATGGAGCGGAACTTGCAAACAATGCCACCTTTGCTACGCCCCGCTCTCTCCCTTCTTCCACCACGGCTCGGGAGCGTTTTGGCACCAATCGCCTCCATGCTCGCAGCATGCGTGCGTGTACACAATCAGAAGCTCCTCGGCCATTGTCTCTCATATTGAGCACTGGCTCAACCGATGCAAAGTGCTCAACGCAGCGCGCCAGGGTGCAAAAACAGGTGCACATACACACGCTGCGATTGAGCTTCTTCGCTTGCGCTTGAGCCAGAGCCAGAGCGAGAGTGCTCGAGCCAGAGAGGCGACCCTGGAGCCTTGCGAGCCTGACCTGCAAACGCGTGCATCTCTTGCGCGTCTGCGGCCCCACCATTGTCTGGCCCCACCATTTGGATGCGCACGGCACACTTTCCGTCGATGAAGCCGCTTGGTCCGCCTCCCATTGAGCGTAAGCTCTGAGCGTGATGCGCCGCGTCGAGCTGAGAGGCCGCGAGATAAGCTTCACTGTGCATATGCATTCCTTTGTACTTATTAGTGCTTCGCTCTCGAGCAACGAGTCCACCATACCCCCCTCTTTCCTCCAACAAAGCTCGGCCTGGTCGTGTTCGTTCATTCTCTCCATCACTCGACTCATCCGATCCCTTCGTTCTCACCATCAAAGGGGAGTCGCAAGATGCGATCAGCAGCGACGCGCAGTTCAACGCGAAAGACGCGTCTCGATGGTCATGACAGGTCTCCCGAATGCGGTCACGAACTCGTCACCGTCGACTTGTTCCAAGGCTGGACTCCATCGGCAGGCTCCAGTGACGAAACCGAGGTGCAAAGTGATCAGATCGATCCCGCACTGTCTCACGACGATCCTTCCAGCCTCGCCACGTCCGCCGACGCGCCGAGCTTCAAATCAATCGGCTTTCCCACAAGCAGTCTTCCACCATCTCTGTCGACCGAAGGCAGCGTAGCCCAACACGACGCCGGCGATGAAGCTGAGGTCAAGAAGATTGCGCCATCCAAACGTCCGGGCGTTTCGCACGCCAAGAAGACGGCTCCAGATCACATCAAGCGTCCCCGCAATGCGTACATCATCTTTCGATCGCATATTGTCTCGCAAAAGCTCATCCCAAAAGAGGTAGAGCATGATCACCGCAACATCAGCCGAATCATCGCGCACATGTGGAAGAGCCTCGCTCAAGAGGATCGCGCCCACTACGAGAAGATTGCCCACGAGGAGAAGGAAAGGCACAAGCAGCTCTTCCCCAACTATCGCTACCAGCCTACCACTCGCAGGACCAACGTCAACAAGCGCAACGTCAAGAAGCTCGAGAACGGCGATGAAGAGTGCCAAGAGATCGCAGACATCATCCTCAAAGCGCAAGGCAAGGGCGGCGTCGCCGCCAATCCCGAGCCGCGCAAACCTACAAAAAGGGCACGCGAGGCGACGCGTCCGCAACAGGAGAACGACACCGAATCCGCAGCCGAGCCTTCGCCGCGCAAACGCGCCAAGCCCACCAAGGCGCCTTCCAAGGTGGCCAAGGTGACCAAAACGCCCAAGACGCAAAACGTGGCCAAGGGGACCCACGGGAACGGGGATGCAAACGAGTCGGAACAGACGCTCGAGTCCGTTTTCCTGTACCATTCGTCGTCACCATCGCCGTCCGTTTCGTCATGCTCGAGTGCTGCAATTGCGTCTGTTGCCGTGACATCGCCCGAGCCCTTGCAACTCTCACCCGAAACGCCTCCTGCCGCCCGGCAAGGTGCACACGGAGACGAGCAAGGGACCGGCGCTTCCATCTTTGGCCGCAGGGCATCCTCGGTCCCGCTCGTTCCCTTCTATTCTCTTCCGCCTCCGCCCGCGGTTGCACTTTCGGATCACGAAGGCTACCAAGCGTCGGCTCATCCCCAATCGTTCGGCGTCCCCATCGAGCGCGAACAGCTGCAGTCCATCGACGGCCAGCTCGACGTCGTTCAAATCGACCAAAGCAGGGACGATGGTCGCGACATGCCTGCTCCTGCTTGGAAGGGGCGACGATCGCAGCCGCCTCCCATCCCCAACACCTGGCAAAATTGCTCATTTGACGAGCCGTCTCTGCCCTCGCCACGCACGATGGGTTTCTGTGGAACATCAGCAAAGCACAGCATGGGTCGACCGCGCACGGCCATGCCATCCACCCCGAGCTCGGCTTCCTGCCGCGGCTTCTTCCATCCCTGGGCGTTCGACCACAGCGACGAGTCGACGCTCATCTCGCCGATGAACGTCTCGTTCCAGGACGGGAGGAGGCGCAGCTCCATCATCCGTCACGGCTCGCTCACCGGACGTCGGTACGGCTCTTTCGGCCTCGAACCGCCCAGCAGCTTCAGTAGCCGCGCAGAGCCGGCCGACCTCGGTTGCGGTGGGCGCATGGATGCGTATCCCTCCGACCTCGACTTTTTCGAACACGCCGCAAACGCTGCATCAGTCAGTTTTCGAGAGCAGGGCTTGTCAAGCGGTGCGGACGAGGCGGTTCCATTCGCTTTTGATCCCGCCTTGGAGGGGGAGGGATGTGCGCCGATGCCGGGCCATCCTCTCACCAGTCCTCGCCCTTCGTTCTCCGAGAGCACGTTGGCAGCTGCCGCCCGCGACTGGACGAGCATCAAAGACCGCAAGGGTAGGCACTCACCTAGTGCCGCACGCCAGCCTCAGCCTCAGAGCGAGCCCGCACCGGAACCTCAGTTTCCGACCCAGGCGCAAGATGCAGGAAATCTTACGCTTGAAGAGTCGGTGGAACGAGCAGTTCTGCTGGCGCTGGGCAAGCACTTTGGCCAGGATGTCGACTGCGCCGAACGCAGCTCCAAAATCGTTCAGCAGATCCTGTCCTCGTTCACTTCCCAGTCGTCGAACCAGCCGCAAGCATCGCAAGCGGTCGATGCCGAGCAAGGCACCGTCCTCGAGCGTCACAACGGCGCTAACACCGCCGCGCCAGCCCTGGACTTGAACCGCAGAGCGTCACTCCGCGGATCCTGTACTCCGGCGGGCTCCTTTCGTTCCTCCCCAGGCATCAACAGCGTCAAGGCCGTCGATGGCCGCAGAAGCTCCAAAGCGCTTCCCTCGCCTTTGCATCTCGCACGTTCCAACCATCAATTGGCCGCAGACTCGCATGCCCATCCATACCCAACCTCCCAACATTGCATCTGAATGTAGCCAGCATCTCGTATCTCCGCACCTCATAGTAGAGTCTCCTTTAATTTGACAGTACGGCATTGCACCACCTCTTCCTCTTCGGCGACTGTGACCTGTGTTTGCCAATAGAGCTAGTCCGCTAGAACTTCAACGCTCAGTGCGTGGAAGGGCGACGGCGCGATTTTGGTTATCTTTGTGAGATCGCAAACTCTGTATTGAGTTTGAGCGGCGAGTAAAAAACACGCGGACAAAGTTGTAAATTGTTAGACCGTAGGGCATGAGAGAAGGAAAAGGTCACGTGCAATGGGGATCAAAACTGTAAAAATTTGAAGACGCTGCTGGAGCCTGGCAATGAGGGTCGTGGCAAGCGGTGGGCCAGCCTTGTCTCACGCGTGTCGGACGGATCGAATGCGTGCGCCTGCTGCCAGTCTGCAGTCTGGCCCCGTCTAGAGCCCTGCGCTGGAACTGCCCAAGCAAAGCAACGCCAGCCACGCAGTGCAGACTCGGCTTGATCTTCGAGCGAGAGTGTGTCCCAGTCCAAGTGCTCTCCTCCTCGCGATCCTTGATACCGACATCCATCAAGACCTCATAGCACATTCTTCAAGAGTAAGTATTGAATCGACATGGCATGACCACCAAGCACAGCACGGCATCGCACACGACAACTTCGCAGCACAGCATAGCAGATCAGCATCGTATCCGACCCCGCGACCTCACGCCAACGACGATCATCCGCACTTTCCGAGCACGTTCGGCTTGATCTCAATCGTTACCCACGACACACGACAATGCTTCTTCTTGCGATGCCGTCGCTGTAGCAGCGTCACCAACATGCTTCTGCCAACCAGATCTGCGTCCATTGCGATCGAGACATGAAACTCACCACTTCTGCACATTTGCTTGATTCGATTGGAATGACTTTCCTGCCACCGCCAACCTTCGACGCACGCACTTGCTTTGCCATCTCACAGTGGTTCGAGGACCGAAGCACCACCTTAAGCGCCTGAACGCTCCCTCCTCGTGGATGCTGGACAAGCTGTCCGGCACCTACGCCCCCCGCCCCTCCAACGGCCCCCACAAGCTGCGTGAGGCTCTGCCCCTGGTCGTAAGTATTGACAGCACACGCCAGATTCAGCAGCACCCAGCGTATCCCTTCGCCATGCGCGACAAAATCATCGCCAACTGGACATAAGATGAAAAGAGACAAAGCAGCACAGCACAGAACGGATGAAAGAGACGCAGACAAGGTGGACACCGTCACGACATCTCGCGATCAGCGAAGGCTCCACCGGATTTCGTCGCTGGAATCGACGAGCGAAGCGCAGATAGATATCCGGCCGGAGCAAAGGCGGCGTCGACCAAGTGATCGCTTGTCGCAGACATAGACATGATGCACGCATTTGACCGTCGTCGCTGTCGATCCACGCTGGCGCATGGCACGCTGGCGATTCTTTCGCAGGTCGTCGAACCCGAGTCGGCAGAGGACAGGATTGTGTTGTGTCTTGTCTGGAAACAAACAGGGAGCGTCACGGATGCTGCTGTCTCTACTCGCTCTTGGCTAATTTTCCAACCGCCTGTTCATTTCCATACCGTTACCGCTCACTGACATCCTCACTCTCTTTCCTCCCCTCAGATCCTCCTCCGCAACCGCTTGAAGTACGCCCTCACCGGTCGCGAGGTCAACGCCATCACTGCCCAGCGCCTCATCAAGGTCGACGGCAAGGTCCGCACTGACCCCACCTACCCCACCGGTTTCCAGGACGTCGTCTCGATCGAGAAGTCGGGCGAGCACTTCCGCATCCTCTACGATGCCAAGGGCCGCTTCATCGTCCACCGCATCACCGCCGAGGAGGCCACCTACAAGCTCCTCAAGGTGAAGAAGGTGCAGCTCGGCGCTCGCGGCGTCCCCCACGTCGTCACCCACGACGGCCGCACCATCCGATACCCCGACCCGGCCATCAAGGTCAACGACACTGTCCGATTCGACATCGAGTCCCAGAAGATCCTTGACTTCGTCACCTTCGACACTGGCGCCACCGTCATGGTCACTGGTGGTCGCAACATGGGTCGTGTCGGTGTCATCACCGGCAAGGAGCGTCACCTCGGTGGCTTCGACATCGTCCACATCCGCGATGTGCTTGGCCGTGACTTCTCCACCCGTCTTTCCAACGTCTTCGTCGTCGGCACCGACGGCAAGCCCATGATCTCCATGCCCCGCGGCGGTGGTGTCAAGCTCACCATCACCGAGGAGCGTGACCAGCGCCGCCGACAGAAGGAGGCCCGTGGCCAGTAATTGCAAGGCCAAGCCTTGCTTTGCTGACTCCACTGGCTCCCTTTCCGTCGTCTTCCCTTCATCCCACCAAAAAAGCGCCCTCGGGCTCGCATCCACATCACTGAGGGTCTCGAGGGCGGGGCCAGCCGTTGGATCGGATGGCTCCACTTCGCCCTGCATCCCAAGCCCACCATGCTCTCACTCGCCTTGGGCGGGCGTACTCCCGCATCTCAATGCCAAAAAAACCTGTATTCTTTCCGTCTTGTTCGCTGTGCTGTGTGCCGTCCGATGCCTCCGACCCTGATTAGCGTGAATTCGCAACCTCGAGGCCGATCAATTTGGTAAGATGACTGAGAAGGATCGAGGCGGTTCTTGAACCTCATCATTCCCTTGGTCATTCTGTTCGTCCTGAGGAGCCAACGCGAAAGGAAGGGGCCGCTGCCGTAGCTGAAGCGGATTTGTACGCGATGGGCCAGCCCGACAAAGTACTTGGCGCTCCGGGCGTGAAGATTGAGCCAGTCTGGGTCGTCGACAAGCACGTCAACCGTTCTGCCATCGTTCTTCATGAGCTGCACAAATGCGACCTTGTCGGCGGCACGGCAACAAGACGACGTTGGCACACCGTTAGGCAAGACTTTGAATTCAAAAGAGTCACGCTGGGTGCATGGAAGGTGCGAGGAGGACAATGCGTGAGATTGCGAGTGACAGACTAACTTAGTGCATGGTGGATTTTAGAGACGGTGCAGTTCAATTGATGGACGGAGACTTGGCCAAGGCGAGGAAAGCAAAGGAGAGGACGTAGCCGAGGGTGGGGATGAGGAAGCACGTCGAAGGAAGGGCGGTCTCGATGGTGAGGCTGTAGACGATGCTGATGAGGATGGGGCTTATGCCGTTGACGATGTTGTCCGAGATGGAGAGGGCAGCGAGCCAGTCGTCTGTGGGTGAAGGATGCAAGCTGGGATGCAGAGACGGATGACCGGCGCGCTTCATGTCCTGAATGATGGCGATGGCGGCGGAGGCCACAGCAGGTCCTGCACCCGCACCAAAGGAGAGGAAGAGCGTGCCAAAGATCATGACCGCTGCATTGGAGAAGCTCGCAGAGACAAACACGACCAGGTAGCCCACCACGTCGGCAAAGTAGGAGATTTTGGCGATCACCAGATCGATGGCTGTGCGCCACAGCACTACGGCGCGGATCGTTTCGGTGGATGCATCAGCCGGGAACTCATCGAGGGAACCTTGCTGAGGAGGTTGTGCCGGTTGCGCCAATCCGTCGTTCTCAAGCTCTTCCGCTAGACGACCTGCTGGCTGGGTGAGGTCGGGATCCTTGAGTCCTGCTTTTGCGTACACTTCCAATTCCTGTGGCGACAAGGAAGCGATGCGGCTGGGCTTTCGCACTGTGCGCTCCAACAGCAGCACGAGCAGCGGAATTGCGACGATCAGCCACACCGCGCGTGTGGCACCAATGAGGCCGAGCAGCAGACCTATGGCGTCTGGCGTAAAGTCGAACTTGTATCCGGCAAAGATGGCGACATACTGGAGGGCGTTTGTGCCGATGTTGGCAAACATGCCGGCGAAGGCGAGCCAGGTGAGGCGGTAGTCTTTGCGGCCGTCGTGAGTCAGCTGCGGCAGATAGATGGAGAGCGGGCCGAGCAGTTTCCGTGCTCGGATGCGAGAGGGTGATAGCGAGCCATGTGTCGAAGCGCCATCGTCCTCGGCGCTCCTGGCTGCATTTGCACGAGAGGGCGTGAATTCTGCCGTGGAGTGCGATGCGGACGCTTCGGCTGTGGTGGGTCTAGTCTCTGGTACGATGAGAACGGTCCAGGCGATGGCGAGGAGGAAGACCCAGCAACAAGCGACGAGTGCGGCGGGATTTCCGTGCTTGGACGGGGACTGCGGGGCGCCTGGGATGGGCGGCGGCGTCATGGGGTCCGAGGGAAGCTCTGAGCGAATGGTGGGAGCGCCAACGAGCTGAACAAGCATGGCGTGGGTGCGATGCTTGACAGAAGTATCGAGTGCCCAGGCTGCGAGGAGCGGGCCGAAGAAAGCGCCGCAGAGGGTTGCGCTGATGAGCCAGTTGAGGTTGACGGTGCGGCGGGTGGGAGGGGCGACGTCGACGATCATGACGCGCATGACGCAGAGGAAGAGGCCGGCGAAGCCGGTGAGGCCGGTGAGGAAGCTGCAGAGGAGGAGGATGAGCATGGCGGCTGCCGGACTGATTGCGAGCTGGGAGGGAATGTCCCCAAAGGGATAGCCCAAGGGGAGCAGCGCGAAGGGGAGGTAGTTGATGATGTTGGAGGCGAGCGAGATGACGAGCATGGGCTTGCGCCCCCAACGCGCGAGGCGTGGACCGTAGAAGAGCATGCTGACGCTGGAGACGACGAAGCTGAGCATGGTGGCTGCCGCGACGACGATGCCCACTCTGCTTTCCACGCCCGATACGGCGCATGGGCGGTCGCGGTCGCGTGGGAGCGGAGGATGCGGATGGGTAGGCAAGAGTTCGGGATGCTTCGAGTAGTGGTAGGCGCATGTGTATGCGCGAAGGCCGTCCAGATAGGAGGGAGCCGCGCCATAGTTGCCCATACCCCATAGCAAAGCTACTGCTAAGAGGCGCAGGACTGGCCAATGGTGCTTGAGGTGATGCGCCGCGCGGGCAAAACGGCGCGTTGGCTTGGGCCGGTTGGAGGAGGCATTCGAGGGAGCGCGTTGTCGAGTCGCGCGCTCCTCGGCGAGGAGAAGCTGCCTCTCTTCGTCGGAAGCACGAGGCATGCTGCTTCGAGCTCGAGAGAGCTGCGCAACGTCGATGCGTGCTAGACGGCGAGCAATGTGCGGGAACGAGCCATCGGATCGGCCGCCAACCAGCCCGAGCGTGAGAATCGTCGAGTGATTCCAGTGCAGAAGCGAGGTGACTTGACAAACGATCGGAGAGCCCGAGTCACCAGTCGGTCGGTTGGACCGAAGGGAGGCTGGAAGCGATGTGAAGGCTGGAAGGCAGGTGCGGAGCAAAGCGATTTGGATGAGGGGCTCCTTGAGGATGTACGGCCTCCAGCTGCAGGATCCGAGCCCCTGCACACGCGCTCGCCTCGTCCGCACTGACAGCACAGATGCTCACTCACTCTCAGGGTCCTGGCTGCGCGGGCCGCGGCAAAATTAGCCTACACGCCAATTTTCAAGAATTAGTTGTTAGAGCCAATCACGCATGGACCCGATTTGGTGTGATCGCAAACAATCCACACTGGAAGTGCCCGGTCTAACATTCTCGTGATTGGCGCAGACGACGTGTGGCTCGGGCGCGGTATCGGGGTTGCGGATCGCCTCGTCTGGCTGACGCGGATTCGAAACCGCGATTGTGCCAGCTTGCCGAGCGAAAGGCGGAGCGCTCGACCCTTTTCGGCCGCCCCGCGACATCTGCTCGAGGCGCATCCGCTCACCGTCGTCGACGCGCAGCTGCAAACGCCAGAGAGCCGGTTCCGAGCCCAGCCAGCTGCATCCGCTCGCCCCCCTTCTCCCTTCTCCCTCCTCCCATCATCACCGCCTCCTTCCCTCACCACCGCCATCGCGACACGCGTCTCGCCTTGCTGCGCATCGCTCCGCATCTGTCCTTTCCTGCGTCACCTGACCGCGGCCTGGAACGCGCAACGCTCCTGCATCCCTCCCGCGCTCATGCGCTAGTCCGCACCGCTCCCACTGCAACCTGCGCGCGACCTTCGCTGCTCTCTCTCATCCTCCTTCGCGCTTATCGTCCACCTCTCGTGTGCGCCCCGCGCAAAGGCGCTGATCACACGCCGCCATGGTACGTGCCATCCATCGCAACCGCAGCTGCATCCTCCACCCCTTCATCTCCAAGCTGACCTCTTCTCTCCCGCTCTTGCTCTGCCAACTTGCAATGCTTCTGAATTCAGGCGACACTCAACGTCAAAGATGCGCTCTCCTACCTGGACCAGGTCAAGGTGCAGTTCGCAGAGCATCCCGACGTCTACAATCGCTTCCTCGACATCATGAAGGACGTAAGTATCGCTCCCGCCATCCGCTCATCCGCTTCAAGCCACTCATTCTGACCTGCCTCTTTCCACATTCTACCTGCACTTCCACCTCACCAGTTCAAGAGTCAGTCCATAGATACCCCTGGCGTCATCGAAAGAGTCTCGACCCTCTTTCGCGGACATCCCAGCCTCATCCAGGGCTTCAACACCTTCCTCCCTCCCGGATACCGCATCGAGTGCAGCCTCGACCCCAGCGAGAGCAACCTCATCACTGTCACCACCCCAACCGGCACAACCACACAGACCCCCGGCGGCGTCGGCATCGCAGGCGCCATCAATCGCATGAGTGGAACCGGCTCCGGTCCCCCGCCTCCGGGCCCTTCCACTCAATCCTCTGGTCCCCGAGGTCCCGGTGGCATGGGCATGATGCATGGCTCGGCTCCTCGCCACGCCGACCAGCCTCCGTCCCACATGCATCCGCCTCCCCACGCGCACGATGGCCCTCCCGGCTCCATGCCTTACATGAGCGGCCCACCCGGCCATCCCATGAATCACGGTCCGGCCGGCGCCAACTACTCGGGGGCTTCTGGACAGCCCATGGGGCCCGGCGGCCCACAGCATCCAAGCCACGGTCCCGGTCCGGGTCCCATGGGCCCCGTTCCTCCTCACCACGCCCGGCCTCAGTCGCCCATGCCCATGGCTCCTGGCATCGCACCTCCCGCCCCTCCTGGTTCCGGCATGCACGGCGGCCAGGCCGGCCCCATGACACCAGTTCAGGATCCCAAGCGACCCCCGGTCGAATTCAACCACGCCATCAACTACGTCAACAAGATCAAACAGCGCTTCTCTCAGGATCCCGATACCTACAAACAGTTCCTCGAAATCCTGCAGACCTACCAAAAGGAGCAACGTCCCATCCACGACGTCTATGCCCAGGTCACCGTCCTCTTCGAGAATGCAAAGGACCTCCTCGACGAGTTCAAACAATTCTTACCCGACACCACCGCTGGCTCACAGCCTAGCGGCGGCCTCTTCAACATGCTCGGCCAGGTCACCTCCGGTCTTGGCGGAAGTGCCAGCACTGGCGCAGCTCCAGGAGCAATGCAGGGCCAGCCAGGCTACAGAGGCGCACCGGGCGAAGGCCCCGATGCTGGTCGCAAGGGCGGTGCGGGTGCCATCCCAGGCGCGCCCGGTGCCCCCTCCTCGGCTTCGCGCAAGAAGCGCAGCGGTGCCAACGAATCCGGCAAGCCAAGCTCGGGCAAGACCAAGAAGTCCAAACACGGCCACAAGGCCGAGCAGCGTACGCCTCCACTTCGCCAAGAACCGCTTCCGCCATCGCCCACCTTTGCCCATCCGGGTCAGATGCACCACGTCTATGGCATCGACGGTATGGTCGCAGCCGAAGCCACCGGTCTCGTCCCTCAGGGCACCGTCGTCAACGGCCTCGCACTCGGCCAGCCTCAAGCTCCGCTTGCGACGCTCGACGAGGTCGCCTTCTTCGACCGCGTCAAGAAGCACATTGACGACCGTGCCACATACCTCGACTTCCTCAAGCTTCTCAACCTGTACACGCAGGACATCATCGATGTCAAGACTCTCGTCGACCGCGCCGCTCTCTTCATCGGCACCAACCGCGAGCTCTTTGTCACTTTCAAGGGCCTCTGCGGCTACGACATGGGCCGCCACGGTTGGCTCGACAATGAGGATCCTATCGTCGAAAACGTCCCGGCTCCTCTTCGCGAGCGCGTCGACCTCAGCACCTGCAAGGTCTACGGCGCCTCGTATCGCAAGTTGCCCAAGTCCGAAGTCAACCTCGCCTGCTCCGGCCGAGACCCCATGTGCTGGGAGGTTCTTAATGACAGCTGGGTCAGTCATCCCACGTGGGCATCCGAAGGTGAGGGCTTCAACCCGCACAAGAAGAACCCCTACGAGGACGCGCTCTATCGATCCGAAGAGGAAAGACACGAGTACGACTACCACATCGAGGCCAACCTCAGGACCATCGCTCTCCTCGAGCCCATCGCCGCTCGCATCTCCACCATGGACAACGAAGAGAAGGCGGCTTTCCGTCTCAAGCCCGGCCTCGGAGGTCAGAGCAAGAGCATCTACCAGCGTGTCATCAAGAAGGTTTATGGCCGCGAGCAGGGCCTCGAGGTCATCAGCGCCCTTCACGACACGCCTTGTGTATCGGTGCCCATCGTCTTGCACCGTCTCAAGCAGAAGGATGAGGAGTGGAAGCGTGCCCAGCGCGAGTGGAACAAAGTCTGGCGCGAGGTCGATGCCAGGAACTACTACAAGAGCCTCGACCACCAGGGCGTCAACTTCAAGACGTCCGACAAGAAGGCCATCACCGCCAAGGCCTTCATCGCCGAGATCGAGGCGCGCAAGCTCCAGCAGCAGCAGCGAAGGCTCAGTTTGGATCCCACACTCCCGCGTCCAAAGCCGAGGCACCAGCTTGTCTATGTCATGGACGACACGCACGTGCTCGCCGACGTGCTCAAGCTCGCCTTCAGCTACCTCGACCGCGCCACGGGAAGCTACAGCTCCAACGACCGCGAGCGCATCGAGAACTTCCTCCGTTCCTTTGTTCCTAAGCTCCTCGCGCTCGACGTCCACGAGTTTGAAGAGCTGCTCAATGGCGATGTCGACATGGACGATGAAGATGCCAAGAGCAACGCTGACGACGATGCTAGGAGCGTAGACACGCTCGCGGATGACGACACGGACGCCTCCTCCAACGCCTCTGGTTCGGCAAGTCGACGCGGCAAGAAGCAGGCGGCCGACCTGCGCAAGAAAATCCTCAAGAGCCAAGCCGAGACCTCCAAGCAGACCGAAGACGGCGGCGAGGAATCCGTGGACGCCACTGGCGCTGCAGCCTCGGCCAATGCCAGAGCCGCCAGCCCCACGATTGTTGCAGACGTGGACTCGGTGGCTGAGGCGCTCGCCAACCAGACCTCCAACACGGTCACGCCCGCCGTTGCCAGCGCTGAGGACGTCGACATGGAGGATGCCTCAAAGCCCGTGGAAGAGGCCTCGGCCCTGGCAACGGATCAAGAGGACGTGGCACCCTCGACGACAATTGGCGGTGCGGCGGACGCCGGTCCCGCAGCCGAGGCTCCCAAGGAGACTGAGGCCGAGGCAGCGACCGAAGCCGCCGACCAACCATCCAAGCAGGATGCTGCAACATGGATCAACACCGATCTCAATGCGACCTTTGATTCCCAGAAGGGCCAAACCGTCAACGTGCGCGGCGCAGTTGAAGAAGAAGACGGACCGGACTCGGCGACCAGCCCTGTCAACTTCTTCTGCAACAGCCAGTACTTTGTCTTCATCCGCCTTCTGCAGCTTCTGTACGCGCGCCTGCACAAGGTGAAGGACCTCGGTGTCCAGATGGCCAACAAGCATCCTCTGCGCAGTAAGATCAATCCCCTCGCCATCGAGCTTGGCCTCCAGGATGGTGGTAGCGGTCCAGCGGCTGTGGTGGGCGCCACCGCCAACGCCTCGAGTCTTGGGCCTGTTGCGCCAACCAACGAGGAGGCCGGCCTCACCCTTCACCCCTCGCGCTACTACGATACGCTGCTCGACATGTGCGAGAAGCTGTTCGATGGCGACGTGGACCAAGCCACATACGAGGAGTCAGTCAGATACATGTACGGCATCGAGGGCTACATTGTCTTTACCTTGGACAAGGTCATTGGCGCGCTCATCAAAGTGGTCCAGTTCCTGACCACGGACAACAAGTGCCAGGAGATGCAGTCCATCATGGAGGCCAACCGGGCCAACGTGCAGAGCACGCTGACCAGCTACCGTCAGCAGATTGCTGACCGCATGGCCGCCGAGGACCTGATCGGCAAGGACGAGAGCCTCTTCCGCCTGGAATGGGTGCCCTCGTCCTGCACCCTGCTCATCCAGATGCTTTCCAAAGACGATCTCACGCTCGACGATGCCAGGACGGCCGAGCGAAACTGGCTCCACTACGTGTCGAGCTTCAGCCTTTGGACGCCTACCGAGGGTCTTGTGGAGGAAGCACAGGCGCCCTTCATCAAGAGGTCGCTCTCGGCGAGCGGGGCCAGCGAGAACGAGGCCAGCGAGACGCGCTACGTGACACGCAGCGGACTCGAGATCCGAGTCTGTCTCCGCACTTTCAAGCTCTTCTTTGCGCACGGCACCGAGGACGTCTTTGTGCGCATCCGGCCCGAGGACGAGAGGGACGAGCTCGACCGCAAGGCTGCGGTGGTCAACAACCGGCGCAAGCAGCGCTGGGACGAGTGGCTCTCGGCTCGCCGACAGGCGATCGACAACCCAAACGGCCCTGCTGAGCCTTCGCAAGAGGGTGCCGACGTTGCAGCCGAGGCCGCTGCGCCTAACGGAGACGTCGAGCCTGCTCAGGCGTCCGAGTCCGTGGCCGAAGCTTGAGTGTCGTTTCGATCTTCAGCTGTCGACCGGCGCATCGCCATCATTCGAGCTTTCTCTTTGCCCCCCTCCCCTGTATACTACGTGACTGCTTTCACACCTCTTTCCCATTCCTTGAGTCTGTACGAATCGATGTTTTCCCGATCGCATTTGCAATGTGGCCGATGCGTG